CTGACGGCTAATATAAATGTATATGGTAGAAGGAAGAATGGAAGAGTAGCTATTTCCATCTTTCATCAATTTAATATTGATGTTTCTAAACTTAATATGAATATTTAATCACAAACATTTTTAATCAATAATTTTATTTGAACACAACGTTTACATTATTTATATTATTTCTTTAATTCAAGAACGTGAAACTTAATCGAATACACATGTATAGCCTGATTTCTTTGGACAGAGAAAAAAACGCTTGCCCAAAGCACTTTAAAACTCAGTTACGTATAAATAGTTCTACAAATGAAATCAGAATTTTAATGACTCGATTTATTTTAGATTTAGTGTAGAAAAAAAAGATTATATTAGTATAACAGAGGTATTCATTCATTCTTTTAAAAAAAACTTTTTTGGTATGGTGAAAAATAAAAATATTCTGTAATTTAGCATTTGTATGAATAGAAAAAATTAATAAAAACTAAAAATTTTATTTAAAACTTGCAAATACTTTTTATTGAAGTGAAAAAGTCAAAATCGTTATTTGATTAAAATAATCTGTATGAACAATTGAATTTCAAAGAGTTTTAATAAGCTTTCAAGTAATTTAAAAAATGTATTTTTAAAAACTCTAAATATATAATAATCCATTAATATTTTTTTTTTACAAACATTTTAAATTTTAAATCCAGTGAAATGTTTGTAAAATTATACTCCACATTATAACTATACATCAAATACATTAACAGTTCCTGATTTTTTTTTATCTCTGAATTTGAAACTTAACATGAATGTTTTTGTTCAATATTTATTAATTATAACATAACAATATCACAAAATGCACTGAACCGAAAGAGGTACCATACGTTTATTCTCTGTGTTTAATCTTTTTGCATTGGTTTTTTGTTTTTTAATTGTATTTTAAACAATTTAAAGTTGTAGCGGTTAACGCTGATTTCTTAAATACATATCAAAATACTTCAAAATTAAATTATTGAAACACGAAAACGTTTAAAAAGTATTATGTAAACATATGTACTAACATATTGATAGTCAAATGTACTACTGGAGTATCAGTGATTATAATCGTTAGATAGTTATAAAATAAATTGTTAACGAATTAATAAATTATAAGTATTTTCATTATGCATTTTAGTGTCTAACAAAAATCAATTCGTAAATACGAATATTATATGATAGTACCAAATTGAATCTTTTGAACTCTAATGTATTAATTTGCTTGACGATAACTGAATGAAATACGATGTTAATAATATTAATATTATAGTTTAATCATATAAAAAATACATTATTTAAATTAAAATTTTCATAAAAAATATAATTTAATAACTGTGAATGTTATTTGTTTAGTGTAATATATATTTAAAATTTTCAAATTTAAGTTTCTAGATTATATATAGCCAAACGTGTAGCTGGGTATATTAAAGGGGGGGGGGGGGTGTTTTATAAAATTAATCGACAAAATTATATACAACAAAATAATAAATTTACGTTTACTTTATTCTACAAAATTTAAAATGTAACATTTTGTATCTTATGTATATATATATATATAATTTAAATTGTGTATAAAATGATACAAAATCATGGCTTAATAGATAAAACAGTGTAATAAGCCAGGCCCCGGCATTACATTACTGCTAAGGTAATATATATATATAATTCGTTATAATAAATATGTGTTCATCACGATTCATGTTGAATTTTTACATTTATAAGACTTAAGTATAACATAGTCAAGGGGGTGTTACTACACCTGGAACACCCCCCCTGGCTATACGCCTGTATATAGCTTTAAAAATACTTTTATGGATAAAGTAATATAATACAAAATGTAAAAATTATATTATTGTAGATTGAAATACATATTTTTCTCAAATCTTTTAAATCTTAAATCCACGGCGCATTATGAAATTTGATCTTGCACTTGATGTACTTTAAGGATTATTATTATTCAACTTATAGTTTGGAAAATGTGCTCATTTTAAACTTATCATCGCAATAGAGATCATATAATTGTGTAAAAATGGCAACTATAAATAAATAATTGTAAATTAGCTATCCATATATATTTTCATATAAATATGAAAATTATTGTTTTTAACATACCTAAGTAAAATAAAATATTAAATAAAAATGTAATTTAAATAATATGTCTAATATATTTTAATTACTCAGATCATTCCATAGAAAATATAAATCATATAGAAATTATAAAGCAAACATATTATTAAATTGCTATACTTTATAGAACAGAAATAAAAATGTGATACATACAAATAGTCAAAGTGTGTGTATATGTGAAAAATAAGGATCCTCCAAATATGTATTGAAATATTTCACCAGCTTCTTTAATTTTTCATAAAAATTCTATCCCTCTATGATTGTTTTCTCAAATATATAACTTATAATATATACTCAAATATATTTTATAATTTTACAAAATATCTGATATGTATGGAAATAAACTGAAGTATATGGAGTGATCTGTATCTATTTTGGGGTTAAGTTTTAAAAGTGGTTTATTTCAAAACTACATTCAATGTGTCTTACGTATCCCATAATTTTTCCATCACCACACCTTCAACTATATAAGTATCAAAACCCCACTCTACATATTCGTACGAATATCACAATAACATTTGCTAATGATTTTATAATCTTTATTACTTCTCTATGCTTAATCTTTGTGTCAACGTACACAACTTTCATTCTTACGTTATCTCCAACAAAACTTGCTTCATTTGACATTTTATTCCAAATACTTTATTATAATGTATCACAATATTATATATTAAATTACTAATTTTATTGCTTAGGTACTGAATAGAAAAGTGAAAATTTAACTCAAAACTAAAGTGTGATGTATCATGCGCTTCAAATAATATCTCTTATGGAATATAGAAGGTATTGTTAAGTATATCTAACAATTAATTTATATCATTAACCGTTCAAAGTATTAAATAATATAATTATTTTTATTTGTGTTACAGTAAAAACGCATAAAGTCATTAAAATAACAACTATAGATTAGTTATCTTAAAGTTAAAGTATAAGTTTTATATAAAAAATAACAGTAACGTGAACAAAATTACATTTAAAATGCTAATTAATTATTAAATTAATTAACATTTAAAAATAAAGATAAACCACTTTTTTTTCAACCAAAAAATGTTTTTAGTATTCCAATAACAAGCCTGGCTGAGCTTAAATGTAAAGTGGTTTTGTTAAAACTTTTTTACGAGTCAAATTGTACATAGTAAAACAATTTAACAAGTCTATAGTTAAAAGTTTATTCGAAGAATCTAAATATAATTTTGTACATTTTAATTTTCAAGGATAAATATTAAAATATATCTTTCTTATATTCTTAATTTCGAGACCAGCATTCAAAATATATAAAATTCTTAATATTTTGCTTGTGTTTTTAAAACTTTTGTAATAACGTCATATTTAAGTTCTTTTTATAAAGTGCATATCTATTTAAATATTCAAATTGTTTAAATATAATTAAAATGTTTAAATATTTTAAGTAAAATAATATATCATAATATTACTTTCGTAACAAATGTTGTACCATTCATTTTACGGAAAAACAACACATAATTAAACTAGGTTTCTAATTTTTATGTTATTTGATTAATTTTTAACATCAACCTGTATTATTTATGTTACCTTATAATAAAATATTTTACCGTATATCAGAATATTTTACCATTCACTTAAACATTTTTCTACCTATAACTTAATAGTAATTTATCTTAATTAAATATTAGAAGTACAACATTTATAAGACAGTAGTTATTTATTTGACTCTTACTGAAAAACAAAAATAAAGAATTAAGATAAACAAAAAAAAAAAATCATTGAACGTAATATTTTTGTTTCTATTACGAGTAATAAATAAATTATTTTAATAAAATTATATATGGCTTACAATTTAAATTTTCATAATAATACAGCCGACCAATAAGTTGAAACAAAATTTGCAAATCACATAGTACCTAAATTTGCTATTGAATAATACTGTTGATGTAATAGAAAACATTATGATTAAGACACAACTAAATTAAATATATACGAACGTAGTAATCATTTGTAATTTTGTTTTTCATTGGCAATTACATTTTATTTCAATCGATAAATCTACTAACATCATTAATTGCTCCAAAATTATGCGAGGAGCTCAAACTTAAATTCTAATAAATCTTAACAAAAAATAAATAAAATGTTCCTCGTTACTTAATTTAAAAATATTTTTTAAAATGTAACGCATTTTTTCACTTGATTATTCATATTAACAGTATGGATGTTAAATAATTTAACGGAATAACGAAACGTAATATATTTTCGAAAATTCGCTTTTAACCTCGATTATTTAGACGTAAAAATAAATTAAAATGTCGTAATGCAACACAGCGCTGTAGAACGCCGTTTGTACGGATAAAACGGCGCAGTAAACAAATTTCACAGCCTATGTTCAAACGTTCTATAAGAACAACGCGTGAACTGCATTTATACAGCGCATCCGAACAGTGAACCGTTCAAGACTCAACCGAACGGTTTGAAAACAACCAGGTTTCGCGCCGACCGTTAGTGTAACGAAAAACTGCCGAATGGTCGGTTTACAATATTCCTGCACGTCGTCGTGTACAACGCACAAACATCGAAAAAGAAAATTCAAAATTTGAGGGGAGGGGGTTATTTGGTGATCGAACGAAACCGTCGTGCAAAATAATGTTTCGCGTCGTAGGTCCACTACGAACGAACCGACAGCAACATGTAATATCGGATAATCATCTATACGTCCTATTGACGTTCGGCGTATTAAGTAGACTCGTGAACCATATTCCACTTAAGACCCGAGTAGCTAAGAACCGTCCGCGGGCAGGGATGGGTGATGGGGAGACGACAGAATCGCGAGCCGTGCAAGGGTAAAAATAAGGTAGAAGACAAAGTGTAAATGTAAAAGTAAAGCTGTATCCGTGCAGTACCTGTAACCACGGCGGCGGCGGCGGCGGCGACGAGACAGACGACGATCCACACCTTTGACCACATGGTGAAACGCAGTGCTCACGACCAGCCGGCTGACGGTGACTGACGATATCGTGCTTGCGCGGGACGGTGAGTGCCGGTCGGCGGCGCAAACGATACTACCGGCAGAGCACGCGTGCTGTTGGGACTGCCGCCGCTGCCGCCGCTGCCGCCGCCGCCGCCGCCGCCACACGGATAGTGTACGTACAACGCGATACGCAGGTACTGTTATCATCATTATCTACGGCGCCGAAAACGAAATTATTATTATCCAGAAAATTCCGTTCGTCGTGTTCAACGCCTTCACGTTCGCGTACACTGGTACCAGCGAATAAATTTGATTTCAATCCGTCAGTCGGAGTTGAACACGATCAAAACACGCGGTGGTTCTTAGCAAAAACGATCATTCAAATTCTAAATTCTAAAGAATTCTAAATGGCCGAACAAAATAATTATTACTCGCGGTCAGGGCGTCAATTTTCGTTTTCAATGAATATTTTTACTTAAAATATAACCTCAATTGTACTACAGTTACTATTTATTAGATACCGGTTGATACAACTGGCAATCGAAATTTTCGTTTTACAAATTTCTATAAAAAAAAAAATAATAACAATAACAATTTTGTAAGGAACAATTAGTCCGTGTGGACGGTTCGTTTTTGCTTCCTTAAATTTGCCATTGAAAATATGATCAGTCCGAAGAAATATTAGAAGAAGGGGGGTGAAAACTAACGGTGATAAACACCACTTGAATCGTCTTCATTCACGCCGATTTCGCGACCATGGGAGAACATTAACGTTTTCGTACGGTTACGTGGTACAAGGATCGGAATGGACCAAGAATATTCCAAAGATCGAACGTACGCTCATTACGTCTGGTAATGATAAAACGAAAAAATCTGTAGACGGCGGACATTTTGAAACGGACGCCAACACCCTAGATCAGTGATTCTCAACCGGGATTACATGTCACCCAAGGGTAACTGGACGCAGTGTAGGAGTGACCATAGGCGTGTCCAGACCTCCATGACTGGGGAGGCCAGTTATAAAATTTAAATTTTTTACTTACTACAGCGATCTATAATCTACATCTATATTTGTGACTTATTTTTGTTGTTAACCTGGAATTTTTTCACCCCGTCAAATTAAAGATTTTCTTGATCTTAAAATTGGTTTCCTATGCTATTACAACTATGAACTAATAAATAAGGCCTATTAACTAATGTGCTACTTATTTATTTTTTATAAATATTTTATCAACTAATTTTATATTAATTTGCCCATCTTTGGAGAGCGGACGGACAAATAATAAAATAAGTCTTAGTTAACAAAATAAATAAAAAACGTCCACTAGGAAGACCAAGGACCCGATGGGTGGACGTTATAGCGCAATATACCAAAAATATAGAAGAAGAGTCATCTTTTGACGACGCTTATAGAGAGAAATAGAGAGAAATGGAGAGGTTTTGTAATGGCAGCGATGGCACTTAATGGGCCGATAAGCTGAGGAAGAAGAAGAAGAATTTTATCAACTATACATCAACCTTCTATACACATCTTATTACAGTTATTACAAAATCAACAGTTATTTATCAGTTTGGTTAAACTATTACATTATATTATACTATTACATATTAAAATATTATAAATAATAAAATTCAATAAATTTAAAATTTAAATTCACATTCTACCTAAAATTACCTACTGTTACTGTTTCAGCCATGGATATAGATACTATATATTCGTGGTTTCATCATTATAAGCCAAGAGGCCAAAAGCATCGCTGGGGAGGCCGGTACCCACCCTGCCTCCCTCGTAGACACGCCTATGAGGGTGACACGAAATCTCCAAAAGAAAATGAAAAAAATAAAATTTATCTATTTTAATAAAATCATATTTCCATAACTGTCATGTAAATAGCATAACTTTAAGTTTGTGTCTTTATATTATTTAGGTCCGATAAATACGTGCATTTTGATTTGAGATATCGAATTATGCATTATCGATTATCTTATTCATTTAATCGGGGTCGTTAGTCAGTTATTTTAAAGTCGCTAGAAGACAATATGAGCCTTTCCACCAACAGCCCACGACTTCCTCAACTTTGTAAAAACCACCAGGACCCAATTTTTCATCAGTTTTCATAGAAATCTTTATTATTTTTTCCCTTCTTTTTAATTTGCAAATTTAAACTTTTAACTGACAATGTTTATTGAACCCATATAACTCAAATAAATTGTAGGTGAACTTATTATTTTTCTGTGTACTGTATTTTTTTCTTTTTTTTGTTATTTCAAGAATTATTCTAAAATACACAGTTAATATTATTTATTATTTTGATGTTAGAGTGACACGGTGTTTTATTCTAGTGGCTAAAGGTGACATGAACAAGAAAAAGATGAGAATCACTGCTCTAGATGATGATAATATCGCGCGAGATCGGTACGGAAAATAAGTAAATCGAAAAGTAGCTGCACCGTATAATGGCTTTAACAACTGATACCGATAATTTATTAAAAAATGTCTAAACTATCTAATCCCATTATTGTTATTGTCGTTTATTTCATCGGAAAAAAAACGGGCTTCACTGAACACTATAAATTATAATATGATAATATCGAATAACGTTTTAAAATGAATGTATACTTTTACGTATTAGACACATTGGTAAAAAAACAGTTTTTAGAAACCATACTTTCTATAACCGTATCAATAGATATTCAAGACACCTCTGTGTTTAAAAGTAATGGGCAACTACAATAACTAAGAATTCGACAGCATCTATGAAAACACAAATGAAGTAAAACAAATATAAAAATAAAATCTTTTTTTTATATAAACATTATTATATTATAATTTAAATAATATTTGCATTATATATAGTAATAAACAAAAAAATAATGAGCAAGCCAAATACAGCTATAACAATTATCACTGATTTACCAAATACTGTCTAAACCCATGGATGTTATACAAACAATAAACGTAAAGAATAATAATGTTTGACACATCGTGATGAATTATTATTATTCTCATGTTGAGTATTTATATTATTTCTATCTACATGATAAAAAATATATTATCTAAATCTAACTATTGTTTGTATAAATCAAAAATTTCTAACGTTTATTGAAAACGTATAACATTATCCTTCTTAGATGACAAAAATTGATCCATAATCCATTCTGTGTCAAACCCATTAAAAACTATTTATCGAAAAACGTTGAATTAATCATTTAAATGATTTTTAACACATAAGCCATGTTCTTGTTCTGCTCTAAGACTGCATATGCATATAGTTGAATAACGACCAATTATAAAACACCTATAAAATATAATTAATAAAAAATCAAAATCAATAACAATATTTCACAATTCATACTATTCTTAGACGTGACTATAGATATTAATGCATAAAAGTAGAATTTAGTTAATAAATCATCATTATTTACATTAAAATTTCACTCAAATACACTTTAACATGTTTTATTTTATCAATAAAAAAAACACCTTTCAATTATCATATAAATAAAACTATTGTAAGAATTAAGTTTTAAAAAAACAATGATTACTATACTAATAATCATAAAATGAAATAGATAAAAATTAAAAAAACCTGATAACTATGATATTTCAAAGATTAGGTTTTATTTATGTCACAATATTTATTTAGTAATACATTTACTTAAAATAAAAATGTTACGATCACTCGTAGTTAAAAAAAAAAAAAATATGGGTATGCTTAGGAAAATGGTTGATTTTTTTTTTTATTAGTAACTTCTAGTATAACTAATCGTATTATAGCTCAACAGTTATTCAATATATGTATAGGTACATACCTAGAATATAAAACCTACAATAGAATGCATTACAAAATATTTTAAATAATAGAAAATAGTGTTAGATATAAATATGGATCGAAGACCAAATGAAACGAACAAGTTACAGATAACATAACGTACGGTGATTAAAAATATTGTAATAATTTAGTTAATTAGATATGAATAATGTTTGAACTATAGAATAAGCTGTTTGTTAAGAACAGCTGTAAGAAACATAATGAGGGGATTTATTAACGCGGATAGTTCTGAGATAAATTTAGTAATTAACTAGTTAGTGTGGCTATTAGGTAAAAGGATAATATTAGAATCGGTGATGGAGCGTAAGAAACTTTGAGAATATGAGAAGGAGTTTAAAGAATGCTTTAAATATTGGATATCCTTCGTAGCTGGAGATATGATTGCAAAGGTCATACATTTAATATGTAAGCAATTTAAAATTACTCAAATTGTGAAAATAATCGTAATTTGAAATCCATTGGAATTATTCAATTTTTCAATACGATCTCTATACATATAGGCTATTATTACTATATACCATATCTATATTATCATCTAGGTAAAAATAAAAATAAAATAATGACGCAATTTCATTTTATTTTAAAAATATTTCCTTTTTTTTCTTTTTTCTATAGGACTGAGGTATTTTAGTGAGAGACAAATTCAAGAAATAATGAACAAGGCCCCTTCCTAAGGTTATTTTTTTACATGCTCATACTTATACCATAGTGTATTTTTTAATATTCGTATGTACAAATTTACATAATAATAAAAGAAACGTGAATTATAATATAAATTAGGTCATATCGATTAGTGAACTAAATCTAAGGAGGGATCATTTTGAACGTGATGCCTTCAGACATCATTGTATAAATATAACTACTCGCGCATGTTCCTCGTAATATTGATGTTCAATAATATAATTATTATGAACTTTTGCTATACATTACATTTTGAAATGCAAATATAATATTTGCATGTTAATCAAATCTGTTTAAGACGATGTATGATGAATACGAAAGCCTATCTTAAATGAAAATTTAATTTAGTGCTGTCACAAATTATAATGTGTTAATAGTTATTACATCAGGTAAGACAAAAACTTATTTATATTACACATATATTTGTATAACACAATATTATTTTGGTTTTATTCAATTCCATCCTGGGCAGTATAACTGCTTATTTAAATCAAATCGTCGACATCTACATATATAATTAAATACTCGCTTTAAATACTACACTTGAAATTAATGAACTAACTGATA